TTTTTTCGCCGGAATGTCGACCAGAGCTCCGTTTGTGTGTAGGTTACACTCAATCGAATGATATATAGCGTTTCTCAAATGAGAATGATCCATGCCTTCGTCAAATGACTAAGCAACTGATATCACCCATCCGGAGGAGGTCCCCTTTGATAGCGAATAGCTACTTTTCTCATTTTCATCAAAAATGTTCAAATGATTTTGAGAATTTACAGCACTGGTGCCAACTGCGGTGGAAACCACCGTGCGTCCACTCGCGACTGCCCGAAGCGAGCGGAATTCATTAATATTCACCAAAAGGCGGCAACAGGCAACCAGATCGTGCGCCCCCGACCAACACTGCTGCTCAGTACCCTGCAATCCAGCCCCGACGACTGGTCCCGAACCTAGCACCGCTTCCCCTCAACAATCAAGACCCCTTAGCATCCCCGCTGGGTATTCTCTAACAGAGCAAGCGGCCCCCAGCCGCCAATCAACCCAGCATCGCCTCGCTGCTGCAGCGGCTCAACCGAACCAAGGTCCCTCCACTGCCCCTGGTATATCGTAGGCCAGTGCTGTGTCAGGTGAGTTCGTTGACGATTCCCCATTTACCTCGGAGGAACTTGTGACACTCGTTGCAGAGGTCATTGTAACGGATTGATACGCATTGCATCATGACCGGGTAAGTAGTAGAGTGGGATTAGTGTTCAGTACCGGGTATGAATTAGGAAACGTGATAGCACGATGTATGAGTGAACCTATGAGCGAGTGGGATAGCGAGATAGCGATACTGGTTGGTGTTGAGTGAGTAGCAACAGGCGAGAGAGTCAGTGTTCGACAGTGCCATCAAACAGACGTGGATACGAGTGCGGGTCAGTGTACAGTACGAATCGGCGTGTTACAGTCATCATCATCCTGCGCACCTGCAAGACCCGATCTGAACAGCTGCAGCTTCATGCTGTCCTGTCCCTTTTTACTAAGTATGGACCGTGAAGTTATAAAGATTGCAAATTGGAACGCTCGTTCGCTGAAGAAAAAGCATATCGAACTGCTTGACTTCCTTAAAGCCAAGGAAATTGACATTGGCATCATCACCGAAACCCATCTAAAGCCGGAAGTCAACATCTGCCTATCGTGCAAGAGGAGGGGGAGCAGCCGTTGCTGTGAGGCGTAACATCAACTGCTGCCGAACTTCCAACTCAAAATTATCGAAACCATCGGGGTTGAAGTCGGCACATCGCTTGGCCCCATTACCATCATAGCGGCTTACTGCCCCAGACAAGTCAACAACAGGGATGGGTCGGCAGCGGACCTTCGACGAGATATCATCAAGCTGACTAGGGGGCGGGAATAATATATCATTGCTGGCGACCTGAACGCCAAACATCAAGCTTGGGGCAACAGTTGGCGCAATCAAAACGACACCATCCTGAACAACGATCTGCAGGAAGCGCAGTACAACATCTTGAATCCGGACACTCACACCCGGTTGAGTAGGTCCGGTGCTTACGCCACCATCGCTATCTACATCAGCAACATGGGCAACATCTCGCAAACTGTAGTGTATCAGAAACTCAGCTCGGACCACTATCCGGTGGTGGCTGAAGTGGGTTCGTCAGTCAACAAGTTTCAAGCATCACGACGAAACTACCATCGGGTAGATTAGTCGCAGTTTCAACACAGCGTTGACACCAGTACCGACTATGACGTCCACCCGGAAACGACCGACGACATCGACCAATGTTTGCGCTCCATCGATGAAGCAATTTTCCGGGCTAGGGAGCAACATGTTCCAATATCCAGACAGGAGAGCAATACTCTGAACCTTGACAGGCCCACCTCATTAGACTCCGCAACATGATTCATAGGCAGTACCAGCGTACTGAGCTGCCTAACCTGAAGACCAATTGCAACCGTTTTAACAAAATCATCCAAGCCAGGATGGTGGATCTAAGAGATATCGATTTTGCAAACAAGATTCGCTCTCTCCCAGATTGTGCTAAACCATTCTGGAAAATGACAAAGGTTATAAAAAAATAGGCTGAGGCCCATCCCTCCCCTTTCCTCTCCTAATCAGAATTTGGATCCATCCTTACTCATAACCCCAGTTGAAAAGGCCAATGCTCTTGGTCAACATTTTGTGAATTCACATAACCTTGGCCAAGCCATGGTCTGCAGTATCGGAGGCAATCCCCCTTATTCTGCGCCGCGAGTATTTGATTTCCACAGAGAGTCACCTCACTCGCGGCGCATAATAAGGGGGAATGTCTAAAGTGGCTTCCACCCCCCTAGTTGTCCCTGATGAAAGTAGAATATCGGCTGATGAGGTGATAGCAGCGATTAAATCAATCAAAAACATGAAGGACGCTGGTGCCGATGGAGTGGTCAACCTCGAGTTGAAAACCTTGAGTATTGATTTCTTCGAGCACCTTGCAGCGGTCTTCAATAAGTGTTTGGTGCTTGGCTACTTCTCTGCATGCTGGAAGTTAGCCAAAGTCATTCCAATCCGCAAGCCTGGCAAAGACCATACCAGTGCCAAAAGCTATCGCCCCATCAGCCTCTTGGCCTCCATCTCGAAGCTATTGGAAAAGTTGATACTCAGCCGCACTCTACCATCCACCAACTCGCACGGGTTACTAACATCATCAAGCGGAACAAGTCCGTTTCCAGTACATCTGCCATGGCATTGCTGAACGTCGAGAAGGCGTTCGACAATGTCTGGCATGATGGCCTAGTGTACAAGCTGCATCGATACAACATCCCGATCTTCCTTGTCATGATCATCAAAAACTACCTGTCGGGCAGATCATTCCTGGTTTTCTTAAACAATTCACCTTCTGATACGTTCAACGTTGATGCTGGGGTTCCCCAGGGTCCTATCCTTGGTCCTATCCTCTTCAAGATCTTCACGTCAGATGTTCCTCCCCTTCCGGGTGGTGGTATTTTGTCAATGTTTGCGGATGACACTGCCATCATCTATAAGGGTCGAGTGATCCGTGCTCTGACGAGAAAACTCCAATCAGGCCTGGATGTTCTGTCCGACTATTTCGAAATGCTGGAAGGTTCGTATCAATGCAGCTAAAACACAGACCAAACTATTCAGCTCGGCTTGTCCCGTCTGGTAACTTAAAAGTCCACCTTGATAATACTCGCATAGAGCGGTCAAATGAAGTCATCTACCTTGGTTTCACCCTTGATAGCAAGTTGCTGTTCCGTTCCCATGTGGACAAATCATCCACCAAGTGCAGCATCTTGATTAGGTCGCTCTATCCATTTAGCAACAGAAAGTCCACCCTTTCCATTAAAAACAAGCTTGCCGTCCACAAGCAAATCATCCGCCCCACCATTGAGTACGGAACGCCAATATGGGAGATCTGTGCTAAGTGCCATCAACTCAAACTCCAAAGGATCCAGAACAAGTGTAACCTATCAAATATGTTACATTATTTTTGTAAATAGTTTCTTTTAGTTTTTACCGAGTAGCTTAGTTAAAATGAAAATTGAATTGAACTGATTAAAACAAAATTGAATTTGAAATCGAATTCCACGAAAATATCCACTTCCTGAACATCCCTATTCCCACCCTTAATGCACCTTCCGTCAAAAGTTACCACAAGGCACAGCCACAGTTGACTACCACGATTATCGTCGGTGTGGTAGACGATCAACACCATCACACCGAGGCCGATAAAAAGGTCTGTCACCGTGGGACAACTCTCTAATAGGTGAACGAAGAACACCGTTGCGAGGTGCAGTCGCACGTAGTGCTAAAGTTAGTATTTTTTTTATAGTGAACAAATCAAGTGAGATTTCCCGCGTGCCGTCGCTCGAAGAGGAACTTCCGACGCGGCCATTGTTTAAGTGCCGGTGTGCCCTTGAAACCTGCGAGTGTAGAGATCCGATCCAGAGATGCAGCTAGTGAACGCCTCCAGTGGTCCGCTCGTACCTTATTCCCGGCTGGTGATCGAACCCCGTCGTCTGGACCGTTTTGTGAAGACCGCCGAGTTTTGAAGCACGCAGCGAGGAAGGAGGAATCGTCCGGCAAAACCAAAACGCTAGGCCGATGTCAGCCAGCCAAACGACGCATCAAATCGGTAATGTGCCAGTAACCCTTGATTCCTTCATTTTCCCAATTTTTCCCAAAATTCAACGCCTAAAACATGAAAAACACGAATACACTATGTTAAACTAAGCTATTTTTGTATTATGGAATTATTTAACCACGCTATTCCCTATTTCCTCCATCTCTTTTGTTGGATCCACCTTGCTTTTTTTAAAAAGGGAAGTATTTCCACCAATTTCTTCCTGGAGCCCTTCAAACGACCCTGAATCTCCAGACAAAGCCTGGAGAGGGACAAAAGTAGTCCCCATACAAAAAGAAATCTAACACAAGATCCTTAGGATGATGAACATATATCATGTTTTGTGACCTTTTGAAGACATATGATTCATCGTTCGATCTCACTACGCCACGGTTGTTCTAATATATGAGGCTGGTTGATAGGATGAAGTCACATTCCTTGTTTTCGGTTTTTACCTTTCCAAGCAAGCAATTCACATCGCATTGAAATGTAAAACACTTTAAATCCACTACTGTAGATGTAAGATGTAATTCAATGTGCAATGCAAATTTTGTAAGTGTACCTTATAAATGGAGCATGGCTGAGTGGACAAGGCTGATGTAATGAGCCAAAATCAATAATAAGACGAAGAAGATTACCCCTTATTATCTGCTAAATCGGAAGTGGGTAACCACGCTGCTCCACTGCTGGTGGAGTATGTACCACCTGTTTTTTCCACTAATACGAATGAACTCATTTCACTCTGAACATTTATTTTTATTCCTTAGAATTCAACCAGGTAAATTGAACTATCATACTAAGAGAGATTTTACATACAGTTACATAACCTGAACTCCATACAATCATATAATTTTCAATGATCAAGCATGATTTAGAACAAAGTTACTTAGTGGAAACGACAAGATGTCTAACTATTCAACATTATCAGCTTGAAAACAACACTCAACAACTACCAGAACTTTCACTCGGCTGCCGTTCCGTTTCGTAGATGGCATCATTCTGCGCGAAGGCAGCCCTCGACTGCCGGAGGCTGAGCTTTGCCGTTTCCGGGATCATCAGATACAAAAAGGCAGCGATCGTCATCATTGGTAGCCCACAGGTCAGCAGAATGATCCCATAGAAGTCGTAATCGGTATAATCCCACGATAGCGAGCCAATGGACAGAATCAGGACGTGAGTCAGGCTCTCGACTGTCAGCACGGTCGCAACCGAGAAGCTTTTCTTCGTTGTTGGAAACGCTTCCGAGAGATGTACATCCGGCACTAGGGTCACTCCGGCGCAGGCAAACATATCGTAGACGAGAAACACAGCAAATACTGCATACCGGTCAATAGATTCCACGATGAGGAACACAATCCCCATAAATGATAGAACTGCTCCACTGAACAGTGCAGATAACGCCTGCTGCTTTTTCCGACCGTATTTGTCTACGGTGTAGATGAAGACGATCCCAAACAGGGCCCTCATTCCCAGAATAACCAAACCGGAAAGGCTGTAGACTTCTATGTAGAAGATATCATCGATGAAGGTCAGTCGAACAAGATTCACGGCAGCATTGAAGGACAGTGTAGCGGCGACCTTTCCCAAGCATATCCACGCCAGCGGTCGCCAGTTGCCATCAGCCACAATCGAATTGGACGTGCAGGAATCCTCCCGAAGCATCACCTTGATGTCGACGAATGCTTGACGAACTTCGATCGTTTCCGTCGATTCCAGGCGTAGTTTCATCAACGAGCGAACTGCTTCCGCATCACGATCCTTCCGTATCAAGAACACGGGTGATTCATAGCTCATAAACTGCCCAACGGCTACGGCAAACAGAACGGACATGGCTCCAGCAATGCCGACAATGCGAGCCGGTTGTACGTTGCTGTTGTACAGGACGATGGGACTGATGAGACCGTCACTTAGGATTCCGAGGAACAGGATGTAGTTGACGGCGGCCATTGTTATGCCTCGGAGCTCTTTGACCAGCACTTCTCCACCGTGAATAAGCACAATCACGTAGGCCATTCCGTGTGCAGTGCCAGCTAGGAGGCGTGCAAACCCGATTGCTATGATGCTTCTAGGCAAGACGGCCTGCAGGACACTAGCGACACCCATACCGGCAAAGTAGAACCTCTGAAACAATTTGCGTAATCATTATTATCGCATACTACGTCGGAAAGAAAATGTACTCACCGACAAGGTGAGCTTCTCGATGCGATCCACCAGGAAAGCTGAAATAAATGATCCAATAATGGTTCCAACGAAAAACAGATTCACCACCAGCAGTATCATCGCGTCCGATTGACCGCTCGTCCACCCTTGAAGCCGTAGATGAATGTTGAAAATGCTGGAACCGACGTAAATGCCACCCAGTGCCAGCGTCACCAGCCCTGCCGAAATAAGGCAAATTACAATATCACCCAAGTTACATCCCAAAGACGACCATGAACTCACCACCCAGAAGTGCGTTGGTTTGCATTTTGTTCTTCTGACTCATTTTACACCACTCGGTACAACTACTCATGATGAATGGATTACGGATTTAACCTATCACTTTCAAATGCCACCAGCGAGTGCCGGGGTAGGTGAAATGACTCCACCTCATTTGCATCGCAGTAGTTCGTAAATGAACGAAAGTTGTCGCTTATCAGCTGGATCTGTAACTGCGATAAAAGTCACACACCTCATCAACAAAGTATCCCTTTGGTAGGACTATCTAGCTGGTTTACTATCTGTCAGATTAGATGCACGGCCAGCCAGCAGCGTTTTGTATGGGATCGAACATGGGAGGATTAACGCTCTGCTGATTTACTGCAGCTCGGATATTCGCCACGTGTGTCACTCTCGGTTCGGTTTCCGTAATCGATAAAAACGGTTGGCTGCTTCTACGTCGTTAATTGAGTGAGTTTTAAAAATGTCGATTGGACAGAAGCGGAACGTTGGATTATAGAAGCTATCCACTTTTGGAAATCACTTTTGGAAATACAGTCAACGCTCCACGTTGCGGCACACGATAATCATAGACCTTCGGACGTCTTTTTAGCAAACCCAGTTTGTTTTGTGGGAATATGCTTTAAGCTATAAATTTTATTTTAATTAGTTTTAAGTGTAAAGTAGAGTATATAGAAATCTTACATTGTTTAGTCCAATTTTAATTTGTTTATCGTGTTGCAACTTCTTGTATATATCCTCGATTATTGTCTATTAATTTAACACAATATTTAGTTCCATGTATGTAATTCAATTTCGTATACTTACAATTGTGTGTAGTTCAAATCTTAGTTTAATGTAATTTGTTTTATTAATCACTGACTACAAACTTTTCCAATAATATACTTCTTTTTCATCTTTCTTTTAACCTACCATCTACCAATGACATTCCAACGATGTCAACTTGACGTTCAATAGCTTCCCCATGGAAACTGTAGTGAACGTTTGCAGACAGTTCAGACGGACAGCTTGCCAAGGTTGTTATGCTTCGCGAGGTGTTCGCTCTCGCCAACATTCCCCGCCCCGTATTGCTGGATGTCTTCTCCAGTCATACCTCTTCTCAACACATCGAGCACCGCTAATCTTGCAACCGGCCGTTGGAGTATTCCTCTGGCTGTCTGTACTTCTGCACTGCGTATCCTTCTGTCCTTTCCACGATGCACTTCCAAAACTTTTCCCCTAATCCAGCTGTTCTTAATACCTTCATCCACTATGATGACCAAATCTTCTGGTGTCACTGGTTTGATGTCGTTTGATGTCGTTGAACCACTTGGTTCGTCGATTCATGGTCGGCAGGTATCCTTTGATCCATTTCGTCCAGAATTGATCTAAGAGATACTGGACGTGATTCCAGTTTGACCTGAGGGCTCTCCCTTCATCAGTTGGCATCTTGGCTGGTTGCACAACTCCACTAGAGCTCAAAAGCAGGAAATGATTAGGTGTTAGTGCTTCATCTTCCTGTGAATCTAGCGGAACGTATGTCAATGGCCGTGAATTGATAATGGACTCCGTCCGTGACGTGGAGAGAGTTTCTAAAGCGGCCTTCACTGAACGTACCATACGTTCCCAAACGCCACCCATATGAGGTGCAGCGGGTAGGTTGAAGTGCCACTGTGTGTCGTAGTTAGTAAACGTTCCCGCCAACGAACGATTGATGCTGTCAATCTCCTTCTTTAGTTTTTGACTTGCTCCTACAAAATTCGTGCCCTGGTCGCTGTAGATGTCTTGAGGGGCACCCCGCCTTGAAATGAACCTCCTGATAGCCATCTTGCAAGATTCAGTCGACAGTGTACTTGCCACTTCCAAATGCACAGCTCTCACCGTCAGGCACGTGAACAACATCACCCACCGCTTGACGCTACTTCTTCCAATGCGAATCAAATATGGCCCACAGTAATCAACGCCCACGAAAGTGAACGGTCCAAAGTACGGTGTGACTCTTGCTACTGGCAATGGAGCCATACGAGGATTCATGGGAAAAGCTCGATAGACATTACACCACGTACATTGCCTGGCAACCCTTCGAACAATCGATCTCAAAGCAGGAATATAGAATTTTTGCCGGATCTCATTCGTTACGCTTTCCCTGTTTGCATGTCCGTAACGTCGGTGATACGATTCAACTAGCAGCTGTGTTACGTAATGGCTTCTCGGCATTATAACAGGAAACTTTGTTGCATCAGATACTCCCGGTGCTGCGCTTATTCTACCGTCGACTCTCAGCAATCCCGCTTCGTCCAGAAACGGAGATAAATTTCGGAGCGGGCTATACTTCTCCAGCTTAACTTGTTGCTTTGGAGGAAGGGAACCGTTTTTCTGTATGGTCAGGATCTCATCCGGATATGTTTCCAGTTGTATTGACCGCCACAGAGTAGTTTCCGCTTTCCGTTGCTCTTCCCGAGATAGAATCATTTGGTCCGGAAGCTCCGTATGCAATATTTGCCGGCATTTGGCGACGAACCGTAGAGCAAATGATACGCTTCTTTGTAGGCTCTCTATTCTTGAAAACCTACCGTAAGCAAACAGTGGTTTTGGTGCTTCACGATGGTGTGCATCTGTCTGTCGTATTTCCTCCGTGGAACGCAGGACTAGGTAACGACTTGGATGGCCACAACGCTTCTTCCTCGTACAAGAATCCTGGTCCCCGAAACCATCTGCTGTCGTCTTCGAAGCAAGGTCGTTTGCCCCACTTAGTGGCTTCATCCGCTACGTTGAGGGTTGACGGTACGTGTCTCCAATCGCCTAGGTTAGTTTCCGAGAGTATTTCACTGATTCGAACAGCAACGAACTGTCCGTATTTTCTTTGATCCGACTGTATCCAGGAGAGCACTGTTGTTGAATCACTCCGCATCACTCGGCGACGTATTGGCAGCGTATGACCTTCAATAACTGACTTCATCAATCGGGACCCTATCACCGCAGCTTGTAGTTCTAGCCGTGGTACTGACAAGGCTTTTAGTGGTGCTACTTTTGTCTTCGAGGAAATTAGAGCACACCGTACGCCTTCACGATCAACGATGCAAAAGTAAGCAACGGCAGCGTAAGCCGTCTCACTCGCATCCACGAAAACGTGAACGTCCACACTCCAGGAAAGTACCACCGAGAGATTGTCACTGTGTTGATTTTATGAAGTATGTTCACCCACTGTTGCCAACGATCGTAGATCTGTTCAGGAATCTGCTCATCGGCAGCGTTTTGGTTCTCCAAACATCCTGGACAATACACTTTCCATGTACAACGAACGCCGCTACCAATCCGAGTGGGTCAAAAATACTCATGACTACACGGAGAGTTTCTCGCTTCTTTGGAATCCTCGTACCATCTAGCAACGGTAGAATTTCGTTCCGGAAGTTGATGTTGAAAGAAAAAAGGTCTTGTTCCAGCAGCCATACCATTCCGAGGATTCTTTCGGAATTTGTGGTCTTGTCGGCTATAAAGTTTTTCGAGTTCTGAGGAATTGGATCCCCTATCTGCTGAACGACATCTTTCGAATTGGATAACCACTTGCGAATATCAAATCCGGCTTTCGCATGAACGGCTTTTACCTCTTTTATCAGCTGAACCGCTTCTTCCTCGGTATCCACGCTGTCGAGGTAGTCGTCCACATAGTGGTTCTCCTGAATAGCAACAGCAGCTCTTTGGTACTGCATTTTCCACTCTTCAGCGTTTAAGTTTTTTACGTATTGAGCGGAGCATGGAGAGCAAGTTGCTCCGAATATTGCCACGTTCATCACGTAAACTTCCACCTGCTCTCCTGGTTCGTTACGGAATACGAATCGTAGAGACTGTCGATCTCGGGAACGCATTAGCATCTTCATGAACATTTTCCGTATGTCTCCCGAAATGATGGAAACGATCCAAAACGGACAGAAGTGGTGTCAAAAGGTCTGGCCCCGTTAACAGCATAGAATTCAGTGAAACTCCTTCGACCTTCGCCGCTGCGTCCCATACGATGCGAATTTTCCCTGGTTTATTCGGGTTTAAAATTACACCCAATGGTAGATACCAAGTCCTCCTAGGGTCACTATTGACCGCCTCCTCTTCCGTCAATTTGTGTGCGTATCCTTTCGCTTGAAAGTCCATGATATGCTGCTTAACGTTGTCGTACACCTCCGGCATTTTCGACAGCTTCTTTTCCAGGCATTTCATACGTTGCTCGGCCATAGACCGACTATCAGGAAATTCTATGTAATCGTACTTCCATAAGAGGCCCGTTTCGAGCCTTCCTGATGGTGTGCGAACTGTTGTTTCCTTGAGAATTTGACGAGCTCGTTGATTGTCTTCTGATTCGATTGCAGGTACTGCCGATATTCCAATGCCCCTTGACCAAATCGTGAAGTTCTTGATCTGGAGATCGCGCGCCGATATGAAGATGACGATACTCTTGGGGTACGTCTGGACCTTCAACATTACCGTAAAGCGTCCAGCCAAGTTTGGTTTTTGCAGCAACTGGTTCGTACTCTTTTCTATCCCTCTTTTTAAGCGTAACGGACAGCTTGCCAAGGTTGTTATGATTCGCGAGGTGTTCGCTCTCGCCAACACTCCATTTCTCGATATTCCTCCCTTCAGATTCCCACCCTAGTAGCACGCTTGTCACAAATCGGTTGTAGCAACTTCTATACAACTTATATCAGTCATAAACAAGTTGCTGCAACTTATTGTGACGGAAATGGGCTACTCGGGCATACAACCAGTTCTCTATATCTCGATCATTGCCGATGGTCCCTAGAAAATATTCGGGAACAAAGTACTCTCCATATGTCGATCGGAAAAAAATCTAGTCCACTAGTTTTTGCTACGTTTGAAGTAAGCAGTCGAGTTTTGCTTTGGATACGATATAAACAAATAAACTTTTTTGAACCCGAAGTGCTGCTAGAATCGTACTAGTAGGCTAATAAATTTCTGTTTTGAATGTCGATCTCTCAATATCTCGATGGTCCCTTCAACATCGAGAAATGGAAATTTGACTTGAAATTTATTCAGATTTGGAAGAAACTGCAGTTACTCATAGCGTATGAGTAACTGCAGTTTCTT